TGCTTTGAAGCTTCATTTAATACATGGCTCTGTACCGCAACAATCTCGTAATGTAAATGCAAATGTGTCACCTACATTTGCGACTAAGACAGACCTGCAATAGAAACATATTCAGAACCAAAGTGTGAAGTTGAACATTGATAACTTGTGTCAGCTGTTATGCAGATGATACACAACTACATCCTTGATCATTTACCTGCCGAAGTGATGTTAAATGCAGGGTTTCCCAAAAAAAATTCTAAATTCTGTTCCCTTTGCCTACAGTTTGCTTGGTTCAATGGCCACAAATACCAAGCAGCCTTCCCACAAGCAAGACTTGAAGCTAGCCAATTAGGCAATAAACTCACCAGGAATGTGTTTACTGATGTCATGAAGCAAGAGAGTCTATTTTCCCATAGATTTCTATACAACTCAAAGTGTTCCTGAAGGAGGAGTTGCCCTCTGCTGTTTGTTGAAATAATGCAACAACCTGCAGCAATGCTGAAAAACAGGCCAGCCAATTTCATTACTTACACCTGCTTTTCCTACTCTGATCTGTCCCAAAGATTCCCAAGAAAAGGGTCTTATTTGTTGACTCACAGGCCAGTTAACAGTGTAACTGTACACAGAGTGGCTGTGTGAATAACACATTAATTACATGGCCAAGCACATACCTCAGGTTCAAAGCTTTACTTTATATTAAATACAAGCTTTTCCTGTTGTGGTAGTGAAAACTATTTTAGGAGATTAAAGCCCCCTCTAGCTGAAGTCACGGACATGTTCCTGCACACAAGGCTGGTAAAGTGCACTTCTGAATACCCCCACTTTGGGGGTTTCAAAGGTGTTTCCATATGGTGTTAACTAAAATGTAAAAGCTGCATTGTTTCCACTCAACCTGAGTGTTGTAGATAGTCTTATTTATGCAACAGCTTGCTCTCAAAGCGTTTTTATAGTGAATAAGGGGACAGCACTGATTCAGCAATGAATAATAAAACACATGAACTTACTGTACCTTGCATAAAATGACAGTTGCGCATAAAATGACAGTTGCTCATCAACTGGTTTGTGACTTATGTTTCAATGTCAGTTCAGATTCAAGCTAACCTATTGAAGACACAATAACCTGCACTTTTACTATGTCACATTTAGACACAGCATAGTCACTGGCTTTCCTCATGATGACACAGCTGAAAAGTAAAAAGAGGAGATTATGTTATGACTGAATAAACCTTTAGCTTTTTGGCTGATATGCAGCAACTACTCATGAGTAAATATGGATGAGGCTCTCCTGCTGGTAAAGCCCAACATCATGCTTGGAAGTAGGAAAGAAACTCCCCAAAATGTGCATTATGGGTAGGTGGATAGTGCTACCTTAAGGAGTGCAACTTAGCGCTGACAATGCCCGATAGAATTATTCGAAGTCTTAAAAAACTGCAGAAACTGAATTATCCCCACTATGACCTATGAAATTACATTTTTTTTATAGATGCATGTTATAAATCTGCTTTCATAAATGTGTTTGACATCTTACAAAATACAGAGACCTGATTAAAACCAAAAGTAAACTCTGCAGTCAGACTCTCCGGCAGGCTGTCTACATTACGATGCTGACACCGGGCAACTCAACTCTCGAGCAAGTTTAATTCCTGCAGTTACTGCTGCATCATGGAAGATTCTGTCCACACATACTTTTAGCGCCGCAGACATAGTTGTCAAACATTAAGAGATTTCGCCGTACAACCAGATGAGGTTTCAGGCAAACCGCGAGAGAGGCCCTGGTCTGGCAGCAGAAGATTAACTGTAACGTGATGGAGAACAAGGGGAACCCAAAGGGACAGAATCAGCCAACGATCCAACACCAGTCAGAGAGGAGAGAGAAAGCACAAAGGGTGGTACATTGGTGCTGGGGCAGTTAACTAGTCAAGGCTGCAGGCAATGAAATACTGAATGTATGTGGCATGAGGACACAAGGGCTTAATTTGGGAAATGGTGGGGGCATAATTTTGGCAGGGAGACTACAGTCCTTTCTTTGAAAATTTAGGAAATTCTCGTTACATTTCCTGCAATTATACACGGCACAGTCACCCCATATAAAATTAAATCTGGAAAAAGTCCCTACCTAACCCCTCAAAATCATTTTTCACCATTCAAACTTTAAACTGTTCTGCTCTTTTTTCTGAAGCGTGCTATATCTTTTGGTGCTCATAACTTTTATACTTTTTCAGATATTAAGCTTTTAATGCCATTTTTTGGCCCATTTTGCTGAATGGGACAACATTGTCAGTGTGATCACCAGTTTAGCTTGCAGAGCTGAGCCATGTTTTAGCTCAGTGAGATGAGCAACCGTTCTTAGAGCAGGCAGGCCGGGTTCAAATCCCGCTTATGGCAACATTTTCTTCAGTAAACAGTTTAACTGTTTTAACTCGTTTCAGCACAAATTCCAGCTTCTTCAACTGTTTTCAGCACAATTTTCAGCTTCTTCAACTGTTTTCAGCACAATTTTCAGCTTCTTCACCTCTTTTCAGCACAATTTTCAGCTTCTTCACCTCTTTTCAGCACAATTTTCAGGTTCCTTATCTCTTTTTTGCTGAACATTCAGCATTTTCACCTCTTTTCAGCACAATTTTCAGCCTCTTCAACTCTATTCTGCACAAATTTCAGTTTCTGCTTCACAGTACACATTTTTTCTCTCATCATATCTGTTTTTGGGATCAGCAATCGTTTGGCTCAGTGGGTTGAGCAGCTGCCGTGAGACCCAGTGGCAAAGTTTCGAATCCTAACTGTAACGGTTGCCACACATCTTCCCTGCTTGCATGCACTCTGCTTTCTTGACACTCTTCAGTGTACCCTTTCACATACAAATTTCAGCTTTTCACCTCTTTTTAGCACAAATTTCAGCCTCTTCTGCTCTTTTCAGGACAATTTTCAGGTTCTTTATCTGTTTTTTGCTGAACATTCAGCATTTTCACCTCTTTTCAGCACAATTTAGCTTCTTCTGCACAGTGCACATTTTTCTCTCATCATATCTTTGTTTGAAACCAGAACTGGTTTGGCTCAGTGGAATGAGCAGCCGCCGTGAGATCTGGTGGCAAGGGTTCGAATCCTACATGTGACAGTTGCCGCACATCTTCCCTGCTTGTATGTAATCTGCTTTCTTAACACTGCTTGGTGTACCCTTTCAAATAGAGCCATTTTCAGCAAAGAGTTCAGCTTCTACACAGTGTTCTCCTTCTTCTGCTGTTTTCAGATTACACTACAAGGCATTCACACTGCATTTTCGCAGGAAATGCAACTTTTTCTAGTGAATATTTGAATTCATATGTTACAAAGCCTCCAAGTACATCAAGGTCAAAATTACAAGTTGTTTTTTTTTTAAATTTACATTACTACTTCACCCTTTCGGAGCCCCTGTAGATTCAAAGTACAGGAGACATTCACATAGCGATGTAGAAAAACAGCCCTGACGACTTCATGTGACTATCTCCTGTACTTGAAGACTTAAGGGCTCAAAAACTATGGAAAAAGAAAACTAAGTGGGTATTTTTCCCCATCAAATCCTATTTAACTTCCTTAAATATCTTAAGGGTATTGTAATTTTTTTTTGTTTTTAAATCTGCTAATCCCTGGTGATACGGTAAATACACGTAACCTCACAAAATAACCACTTGTTCAATAACTAATCAAACAACAGTGCCGGTCATTCTCAAACAAATGATTTAACACCACATCCCAAAAGTCCCTGCTATAAATTAGGCCCATACACAGGGAGGTTTACCAGCACACGGTCCTGTAAAAAATGCTGGATGCAGCTGGAGGTACTTCCCAAAAGATTCCCCAACAGAAACAACATAATTCTGCTGATGCCATTATACGATGACTCGTTTATCGAAAGGAAGACGTCAGTTAGCAGGAGCTGCAACACGAGATTCCTCCCTCCACAGGGACATTACATACAAACACTTCTACCCCTTCATTAGCCTGTGCACATGGTAAATGGCTGGTTTCAAAGTGCACGTTAAACACTTCTAAAGCAAACCCTCCATTAACAACTTAGGACCGATTCACAGGCTGGCTTCACCTTGTCACTAAGATTTTAAACATTCAGACAGTGTTAAACCAACATAACACTGATGGCTTGCACCAACAGCAGCACAGTCATGAGATGACAACCAGCACTTCCGATTATTCTGCTGATGTTCTAATG